CAAATTTCAAAGTTATTTTTCTCGACTTAAAAGAAACAAACATATTTAAATAAGTTTAACTATCTATACTATATCAATTTTAATTTATATAATATTTATGAAAATCTGTACTCCCCTTGTCAGGTATTTTAAAATAAAATAAAATACAAAACCCAGAATTTTAACACAAAAATAGCATATTTTTGCATACGGTAGTCATTTTTACCATGAAGACAAATCCAGAGGTCAAATTTTTTTTTTTCACATTAAAGTATATTACATAAGCTTTAATTTAAGATATATTTAAAAGTGTCAGTATTTCCGGAATACTTTCAAAAATTAAATTGAAAATATCGTAGTAACAATACGCATGTTTAAAGTTTTGACCCCCCTTGTTAAAGGGGTATGATCCGATTTACAAAAAAAGCGTGCCAGATGAAAGGGGTATATCAATATTTATTATAAAAAAATAATAATATTGATCCATACATTTTTCCAAAAGTTATATAAAATATAAATTAAATAATATAACATATAAAATCGAGATTTTTTTCACGGAAATCGTACGTTTTTCTTTAACTTTGATGTCCGTTTTCACCATGAAGACAAATCCAGAGGTCAAATTTTTTTTTTTCAAATTAAAGTATATTACATAAGCTTTAATTTAAGATATATTTAAAAGTGTCAGTATTTCCGGAATACTTTCAAAAATTAAATTGAAAATATCTTAGTAACAATACGCATGTTTAAAGTTTTGACCCCCCTTGTTAAAGGGGTATGATCCGATTTACAAAAAAAGCGTGCCAGATGAAAGGGGTATATAAATATTTATTATAAAAAAATAATAATATTGATCCATACATTTTTCCAAAAGTTATATAAAATATAAATTAAATAATATAACATATAAAATCGAGATTTTTTTCACGGAAATCGTACGTTTTTCTTTAACTTTGATGTCCGTTTTCACCACGAAGACAAGTCCAGAGGTCAAATTTTTTTTTTTCAAATTAAAGTATATTACATAAGCTTTAATTTAAGATATATATAAAAGTGTCAGTCTTTCCGGAACATTTTCAAAAGTTAAGTTGAAAAAGTTCTACTTTCTATACGCATTTTAAAAGGTTTGCACCCCCCCTGTATAAAGGGAAATGGTCCGATTTTAAAAAAAAGTATGTCGAATGAAAGAAGTATATATAAAGTATTTATCATTAAAGAATAAAGTTGATTCATGCATTTTTTAAAAAGTTATAGCAACATAATGTTAAAAAATGTAAAATATAATATCAAGAATTTTTTCACAAAAATAGCATATTTTTGCATACGGTAGTCATTTTCACCATGAAGACAAGTCCAGAGGTCAAATTTTTTTTTTTCAAATTAAAGTATATTACATTAGCTTTAATTTAAGGTATATATAAAATTGTCAGTCTTTCCGGAACATTTTCAAAAGTTAAGTTGAAAAAGTTAATTTTTTGTAAAAAAGTTACCATTTTGAAACCCCATCCTTTGGGCTGTTAAAGGGTCAAATGTTCACAAAAATATATAAAATGATAGGTAATTATCTAAGGTATCTATAAAAAAAAAAATTATATTGATTCGGTCATTTTTAAAAAAGTTATGGCAATTTTAAGTAAAAAAAATTGAAAAAATATCGAAAATTAGCGATTTTTAAATTTGTAATTTTTTGGGGGATTTCCCCCGTTTACGGGGAACGAGAGAATTTTTTTCAATTTTTGAGGGTAATGTCTTCGACTAGATACGATTTGTGATCTTTTGACATATTGTTCATCAAAATCGGTCCAGCGAGAGCTGAGATTGAGCGTTCACAAAAAAAAAAAAAATAAAAAAATAAAAAAAAAAACACATCATAGTAAAATTAATACCTTCTCAGCTTCGCATCGAAGCTAATAGTAATAATTTCCTAGTAACTTTTGGTGTTTAAAAAAATTCTACAATATGAACTAAATTAATTTTAATTATTTACTTTAGCTAAAAAATCCAATAAAAAAAAGTTGTTAAAAAGATCTACTCAATAGCATATGATAAAATTTGGAATATTATAGTTTAGTAGTAGCAAACATAAATAGAGTAAAAAAGTTATTAAATTACAAAGTAAAATGATTTCATTTTGTAGTTGAAACCTATCTTATCAAATCATCTTATCAAATTTTATTCGTCAATAAATACTTTGAAAACATTAGAAATTAATGATTTTAATTGTCTGTATGGAGAACATGGGATAAGTAATTGTTTAATTGATAGATAAGAATTATTTTTCAATTTTTGAGGGTAATATCTTCAACTAATTGTAATCCTTTGACGTATCTTTGAAAAAAGTAAGTCAAGTTAGAGCACAGAAAATAAATGATAGTCACAAAAAAATACCTTCTCAGTTTTGCATCGAAGCTAAAACCTAAAATATAATAAAATAATTTTAATATGAATAAGAAATTTCTTCTCGCGAAGGGCAACTACAATGATGAGATCCTTGAGCTTTATTGAAGTTATTGAATCTAAATGAGATAAAAATCAAAGGAGTAAAAATGTATTCTTACTTAAAAAGAATTAAGAAAAAAAAGCTAAAAATTCCTTGCCATATGTAAGTTAGAACCTTGTACCCTAAGCGCATAAAACACAAGAGTTACAGACTCGGCAACAAATATGTCGTTTTCGTCGCATAAAATAAATGGCAATTTAAGCTAGTTTGAATTTCAATGTCATTTTCCTCTACTTATAAAAAGTAAAAACATTTAAATAAGTTTAACATTCTATATAATATTTATGAAAATCAGTGTACTTCCCTTATCAGGTAATTTAAAATAAAATAAAATACAAAACCCAGAATTTTAACCATTTTCACCATGAGGTCAAATTCTTTTTTCAAATTAAAGTATATTACATTAGCTTTAATTTAAGATATATATAAAAGTGCCAGTCTTTCCGAAACATTTTCAAAAGTTAAAAGGTTTCAAAAGGTAAATACCTAAGGTATATAAAAAAAATTATATTGATTTGGTAGTTTTTGAAAATTTTATGGCAGTTTTAAGTAAAAAAACCCAGCACAGGGGGGTCGCGGCACAGTGGTGACGTGCATTGTTGGATCAAGTATAATGATATCTGACAGTGATTAAAATCACTATAAAAAAAAAACGCTTTGATGCAAATCTTTAGATAATGTTTTAAAAATTTTAAAAAATTGGTGTATTATTCCAAAAGCTACATGATCTGCTAGTTCCTTATTAATATCCTGATTAAGATAAAGTAGGTCGATTGAAAAAGGGATTATTAAAAAATATTATTTCTCATAAAAAAATTGTGTTGATCCATACACTTTTCTATAAGTTATAGCAGTATAAATTTAAAAATGTAAAAATTAAAATCTAGAATTTTTACACAAAAATAGTATTCGGTAGCCTCCAGAGGTCAAATTTTTTTTTTCAAATTAAAGTATATTACATTAGTTTTAATTTAAGATATATATAAAAGTGTCAGACCTTCCGGAACATTTTCAAAAGTTAAGTTGAAAAAGTTAATTTTTTGTGAAAAAGGTATCATTTTAAATGCCCCCCTGTGGGCAGATAAAGGGTCAGATTTATAAAAATATACCAAATGATAGGTAAAAACATCAAGCATCTATAAAAAAAATTATATTGATATGTCTATTTTTGAAAAAGTTACGGCAATTTTTAGTAAAAAATATTGAAAAAATTTCGAAAATTAGCGAATTTTAAATTTGTAATTTTTTTGGAGGTTTTCCTCATTTACGGGGAACGAAGGTAATTTTTTCAATTTTTGAGGGTAATGTCTTCGACTAGACACGATTTGTGATCTTTTTACGTATTGTTCATCAAAATCGGTCCAGTGATACCTTAGAAAAAGTGTCAACAGACACATAAAAAAACAAAACATAGTAAAACCAATACCTTTACAGCTTCGCATCAAAGATAATTTACAGTGGATATTCAACCAAACTATTTTGATAAAATTCGAATAGTTGTCAATTTGATACTTATGAAAAATTGTTATAGTACCAAAATGGGGTAGTTTTAACTAAACGTTTTGTTAATATTACAAACAAATTGTTGTCGACCGGATTTTGTATAGATAATAGTATTATTTGTTATTGTAGCGATCAACTTTGTATTTTCAACAATCTGATAAATTTTACAATATTTTCGGTAGACAGAACCATATAATATATGGTTCTGGCTTCAATCGTATCGTACAAATCGCTCTTATCTGAGCAAGTCAATATTCCTCGTCTGTCCAGACACTGCACGAATGCATTTTACGGATCATCGTTTTACGACGAAAATCACTACCAGAAACTCAACTTAAAAGTCTGTGCTCTACACGGTCTATCGGTGAACGAACGATATCCATGCGCCCGGAAAATTAGCTAAGTACACCAGTACCATCTGGTACTTATTTGAGCACCGGCAGCTAATATAGAATTCCACTAAAAACCGATAATCCAGCCGAATACCGCTCAATATAAAACCGGACCCATACGACATCGGTAGCTAATGAAATACCAACTGTCAAGAAATATTGTCTTTATGAACAGTGTGATAGTAACTATAACAATTTAAACGCAGTTTAATTCAATTCAAAACGCATTCAATTGATGTTAATAACATTGTACAGTTTAGATGTATTAATTATGATATTTGACCAAAAATTTAGTAATTTAAGTCATAAAAAATGTTTATTGGTCAATTTAAGTGATGGCGCACCTCAAGTCGTCACCTAAAGCAATAGTTCAGTTGCGATATTTGCAATTAGTTCCCAGATTGTTAATCATACGGAATCTTCATTTTGTCCCCTTACTGGCTTCTTCAGTTATATTGAAGTTTCGTTAGATTGACAGTCGGTGTAAAAATCCTGTTAAATCAATAAGGAAAAACTGACCCCAAATAGTATGGATAGAGGCTAAGGAGAATATTAATTTTTAACAAGCTACTTAAATCGCAATGAGTGACAATAAAAATCAAATTTCACAATCAAACTTTTATTTATTTGTATTTGTAGAACAAAATAGGGAGCGTACTTATTTTAATTAACAATTGTTTCTTTTTATTGATATATATTAATTTAAAGATGGGAGTACATTATTTGAGCAATACAAAATTTAAACGTAACATAAATGAATATAATTCTTTAATTACACACATACAATTAAAATTTACTGTATTTTTATTATGGAATTCTTAATTATTAAAGACAGTATATCACTTAAAAAGTTGAATTGTTTTATCCATATTTATTTTCGTATCACAATAAGTTATTTCTGAAGTCTCATTATATCTGAATCCAAGGTTAGTATATTTTATTTGAATTAATTCATCGACACTATTGAGAATGAGATCAGAATGTAACTTTAAATGTTTGCGTTCTTCTTCGGTTATTCCAGTATCATACGATTTATGTTGATACTTTAAATCCAAATCATGATTTGAGTTAATCATAGAAATATTTGGTGTCAATTCAAAATATTTCAATATAAGACTTTGTGTTGACGAAAAAGTATCAATTGAAATGCGAATAACATCTTCGTATAAACTATCCATATTGTTAATATCTGGTTCGAATTTAAAATTATTAAAATTTAACAATGTACTAATAAAATTTGTTAAGAATGGCTTTTGAACAGTTATATTTAATTTGTTTATGTATATTAATGCACTTACAAATTTTTTTGTTAGCTCCTTCAATTTTGTCATACATTTTGTCAAGGTTTCCATGAATTCATTTTGAGTTTCGCAACATGCGCTCTTATAATTTATAGAAAAATAAGTGTTTAATGTTATTAACATATTAGCAAGCCAGTGTACAGTAATTGCGTACTCATAACTTATCAATTGCGATAAATTTGCTAATACTATATCAACGTTATATTCAGTAACAATTTTCTCATTATAATCAGTTATGAGTAAATCGTATTTATTTAAATTACAATAATTATAATACGTGTATTGTACACCGAGTGTCCATTTTTTTGCATCAAGAAGTGAATTTAATATATCAACGTTTGTCTCATCACATAATGTCAGTAAAAAACCACCGAACAAAATAAACGGAAATGTTACAATAGTAAACGATTTCATATTTCTAAAAAAACAATTAATAAAGTTCAATAGTAAAATTTAATTTTTCTTAAGAAACTATTAAAAGGACACTATTTAACTGTTTTGAACTGTAAATAATAGTTTTAAAATATCCAATAATTTATCATTTCACGTAATATTAATTTAAAGATAAATATAAGTTTAACCTTCAATTTATTTGCTATAGTTCATAAATTTATATTATTTTTTTTTTTTTTAAGAAAACTGAGAGGTTTTTTTATTATCTAAATAAAAAAATTATTTACAAAGTCTATTTACAACATTTGAATAATGTAATGTTAACTTATTATAATATGATTTTTCATCTTTTAGCATTTTATATTTTTAATCTATAAATAATTTATAATGAACCTTTTAATTGATAAAAATAATAGCTGTACTGAATAAATAAAAAAACAAATGTTAATTGACATTCTAGGTACCATAAATAATTATTTGAAATAAAAATTTTCTGCCACATTTTAGTGTATTTTTAACTATTTCGCTAGAAATCTTTTGTATGATTTATAATCTTATGATAAAGTGTTTTCTTAATAGTATATACTGAAGTACATTAATCAATTTATATGACTTATTTTTTTGTTAATGGAAATTCTCAAACAGAGTATTTTTTTATCAATCCAAATAAAAAAATTAATTGTAATGCCTATTTACTACATTTGAATAATATAATATTATTTTATTATACTATGATTTTTCACCTTTTATCATTTTATTTTTTTAATTTCTAAAGAATTAATAATTTTTCAAATCTATTAATTGTAAAAGAATAACTATATTGAATTAATAAAAAAAAAGTAATGGCTGTTTTAAGTATAAAAACCCAGCACAGTGGAGTCGCGGCATAGTGGGGACGTTGCATAGTTGGGTCCAGTATAGATTTAATCTGACAGTGATTAAAATCACTATCATAAGAAACACTTCGATGCAAATCAGTAGATAGTGTTTAATTTTAAGAAATTGGTTGATTACTCCAAAAGCTACATGATTTGCTAGTTCCTTGTTAATATCCTGATTAAGATAAAGTATGTCAAATGAAAAAGGGATTATTANCCCTGATTAAGATAAAGTATGTCGAATGAAAAAGGGATTATTAAAAAATATTATTTCTCATAAAAAAATTGTGTTGATTCGTACACTTTTCAATGAGTTATAGCATTATAAAGTTAAAAATGTAACCAACCCAACCCAACATCAACTCCTATTTCCTTAATTATATCCAGATTAGTAATTCGTTTAATTATATATTATATAATTTTTATAATTAATTATTTTCAAATTATTATTGACTTTGATTTTTAATGTTAAAAGTAATCATTTTGAACCAACTTCTTTTTGTTCTTTAAAATGAAAGTTTTAATAAAAAAAAACCCAGCACAGGGGGGTCGCGGTACAGTGTGACGTGGTATAGTTGGATCAAGTATAATGATATCTGACAGTGATTAAAATCACTATCAAAAATAAACGCTTCGATGCAAATCTTTAGATAGTGTTTAATTTTAAAAAAATTGGTGTTTTATTCCAAAAGCTACTTGACCTGCTGGTTCCTTATTAATATCTCGATTAAGATAAAGTATGTCGAATGAAAAAGGGTTTATTAAAAAATATTATTTCTCATAAAAAAATTGTGTGGATCCATAAACTTTTCAATAAGTTATAGCATTATAAAGTTAAATATAATATGAATAATAAAATCGAGAATTTTCATTCGAAAATAGCATTCGGTAGCCATTTTCGCCGTGAAGAAAAGTCCAGAGGTCAAATTTTTTTTTTTTCAAATTAAAGAATATTACATAAGCTTCAATTTAAGATATATATAAAAGTGTCAGACCTTCCGGAACATTTTCAAAAGTTAAGTTGAAAAAGTTCCACTTTCTATATGCATTTTTTATATTTGAAGACCCCCCGTGTATAGGGAAATAGTCTGATTTAAAAAAAAAGTATATCCAATGAAAGATGTATATAAATACTACTTCTCATGAAAAAATTGTATTAATTTAATTTAGTTGGAAATTTTTTCCGCCATTTTTCCTTTGTTGACTGGCCTAAACCGTAAAATTTGTTCTTTATTTAATATTTTTTTATGATAAAAGTAGATAGACATGGGATGTTATTTGACTAAGTATCCCAACTTTGTTTGGATTTTGGTCAATAGGTTAGCAAAGAAGTTTTATTGGGGCTCGTAGAGCTGAGGGTTGAAAACAATTTGATATAAAAAAAAATGATTAAGATACCATTTTATAGAGGTATTATACGCTGAGGTATTTTTTTAGTGGCCGGGGTCTTTGGCACCTATCTAACACCCAGTTGAAGCATTTATTAAATCAACTGGTATGTACTTTAGTGGGAATACTGAGATATTTTGGGAGTGGGGGTGGCCTTCTCTCTGACACCCAGTCAAAATATATGACCAAGCACTTACTAGTTATAATTATGTTTACTTATACCTGAACATTTTTTTTAATATTTTATAAAAGCTTTAAATTTACCAGTTTCTTTATTTAATCATCTTTAAATTTAATTTTAAATAATTATGAATAACTTTTCGCCTAGCTATAATAATGTTAACAACTAAAAATGGTCGTGCACGCCTGACCAATAGTCTATTATCTGTATATATTTTAAAATGTTAATAACTACCAAAATACTGGTCAAAAAGTCCGTTTAGACGATTTCAAAATTTGATCATTTTCTTTTTTTATAAACTATTTTAATATGTATGTTATTACAAAAAAATATATCATAGTAAAATTAATATATTTTCAGGTTTGCATTAAGCTAAAATATAATTGACACCCTTATAGGATTTAAAGAGCGAATCAATAAAGTACTTGAAATTAAAAAATACAATAATAACATATACAATATTACTTTTAATCTTGTAATATAAAAACTAAATAATGCTATAATACATACATCACTCATTATTCAGAAGTCTATAACTCATTATCTATTTGTCTATTATTATTATCTCCAACAAGCAAAAAATTTATTTTTTTTAATTTTAAAAATTTTAACTTTTATGCAAAACTGAGAAGTTTTATAATGTAGTATGTTTTTATTTCTGTCTATGTAAATTCTCTATTTTCATTGAACCGATTTTATTGGTCTATACGTTAAAAAAAACTATTTAATCTAATTTGATCAATCGTTGGCCAAAATCGAAAAAAAACCTTCAATTTTAGATAAATATAAAAATACGTTTAAATTACGATACCACAAAAATTGCAATTTCAAAAAAAAATCTCTGCATTTTAAAAATCTTATGATTTTTTTCAAAAACACTGATTCTAATGAAATTTATATAAACAATACTAACGACCAGAGTAATTACGTTATGAACACACAGTATTTAAAACAATTTTAAAATTTACATTGGTCTTATGTGACATCTCACACAATTTTCATTGTTAACTTATGTTTTAGACAGGTTTAAAAAAACATGCTTTATAACAGCCCTGCTAATTAAAACGAGTTTTATATTACTTTTTTTGAAAATATATTGAAAAACTTAAGTACAAGGAAATTTTTGAAGAATCCGTTAAAACAATTTTTTTCAATTTCATTATTGAAGTGTACCTGGAACGTCTGATCGAATATCGCTCAATGCTAAAATGTAGTTGACACCCTTATAGAATTTAAGGGATGAACCAATAAGGTTGAAATTAAAATATAAATATATCCAATATTCCTTTTGTTTTAAGTAATTGAATTGTCTCTAATTTAATCATCAATCATAATTTTGGTTTTCGTTGGGTGATTGAAAGTGTAGGGTATATTTTTATTAGTACTTACTTATTTCATTAAAACATGAAATATAAATATAAAATTATTGTTTGACCAAAATGGCGAACAGCTTTTGGAGTATAGTTGTTATAAATTTAAATTTTATTACGAAAAAAAAATAAATTTTCACACTCAAATTTTTATTTTTATTTTTTATATGTAGAACAAAATTAGAGAGCGTATTCATTAAAAATGAACAATAGTTTTATTAATATGTATTAATTTAAAGATGGGAGTATTTTTTATTTTCAAAAACATCTTAAGTTCACGTGTATATATAAAAAAAAAAATTCATAAAAACACTTATTTTATCATTATTGATAAAAACCAATAATATTTTTATAAAAATATTATGCTATTAAAAAGGTTAAAATTTTTCAAGCACGTACATAAACATTTCACATACATACAAATAAATATTCTGTGTTAACACAAAATTGTGCTTTTGATTTTGGAAAAACATTCAAGGTCTTAAAATAAATACTTCAACTTAAATATTAGACAGAATGCTCAATATAAATGAATTAGTTTAATGGAGAAATTCAAGTCGTAATAACTCTCCTTTTATAAAAATAAATAATCTAGTAATTCATTAAATAATTAAATAATAGTAAGAAAAACTCAAAATATCATAGTTTATGTCTACAAGACAAGATCACATATTAAAATGTTAACAATATTATGAAATATAAAAATATTAAATAAAAAGATCTTAAGTTAAGAAAATTTAGAAAAGTATAAAAACTTTAGTTATATTTAATATTGAACTTATTGGATAGACTAATTAATGATTTTGAAGAGTATTTCTCAAACTAGCAAATTGATGATTTAACATAACTTTTTGTTGAATTGATAGATACTTATTCAATTTGTCTATTATTTTATCTAAGTTTGGTTGTTTATTGCAAGACTCTACATTTAATAAAGTTGTCAACATATCACCCCAAAGATCCTTATCCATATATCTGTAAATTATATGAAAAAATTAATCATCTAAATATGATTTAATTGTATAACGTTTGCAATCAAGTATATTTATATCTTTATTTGTATAGAACATTCTTTAATTATATTATTAGTATGCTCTAACTAATATTTGAACCATTTATTTCAGAAACAATTTTTTCAAGTCACAAAATCTTGAAAGTTTTCAAGTGCAATACGTTTTGTATAGGCAGATAATTTATTTAAAAAACATTTGGATATTTTTTAAAAGTTCAATAAGTCTCAATGTTTCTAAATGTATTAAAAAAATTCTGGAAGAATATGTGTACATAAAAATATACACGTATCCAGTATCTGATAGAGATTTGATATAAGTTTACTGTACTAATTTGTACATTTATAAATCACAACTGTCATTACAGTTTAAACAAAACACACCAATGGTAGCTTAATTAAAAAGTTATATACTGTTTTCTAGTAGTTTAATATTTCTCAAATAAGTGGTTCATTTATAAAAATCATAATATATAATCATTTTCAAAATACCATTATTAAAAGAAAAGAAAATTTATTAAATAAACAGTAACAAATTTAAATTAAATAATTACCTTGGTAAAGGCTTCATAAGAACCCATGTTTTACGAATTTTAGTAGTTTTCATGTAATCTGCCATAAGAAGCATGTAAATAATAGCAGCTAATCCATAGTAATCAGTCTAATACATAATGACATAAACATTAAAATCAATTAACTTTAAATTTAAATAATATATATTTTTCTAATAACCTGATAGGTCCAAGGTAATTTTTCCCTCATTTCATGGCAAATAAACTCTGCAGTTTTAACAGAATAAGTAAAGGTAGTTCCTGGTGGTAATAATGTCATATCAATACTACGTCCAAAATCAATGAGTTGAATACATGGACGCATAGCTGAATTTGGCCTGTACGCAGTTATCAGATTATGAGAAAATAATTAATTATCTCTTTAATAAAAACAGTTTAAAATATACTTACAGTGATTTAACAACGACATTGTCTGGTTTTAAGTCTCCATGTATGATTTGACATTGATGTAGGTATTTAATAGCAGATGTGATTTGAGATGCAAAAAGAGCAGCAACAGTGACTGGAATTGATCTATTCTAAAAATTATAAAAGATAAAATGTTAATATTGACAATAATTAAAGCATTAAAAAGTTATGGTGATAAAAAATTAATTTGTTTAAGTAATATATAATTAATATTCTAATGAACTTTTCTCACCATGGCTTGCTTATAAGTTAAAATTACAGATAATAATGTTCCGTGGGTTGCATATTCCATAGATATAATAGATCCATTGTTAAATAAATAAACATTGTCCATGTTTACAAAATAAGTTATCTAAAAAAATTAACCAATTTTCTTATTGTAATTAAAATTTGAAAATAGTATAAAATAACTGATATACAGATTTATTTTTTTGTCATACCCACTTAATTACTCGTAGAGTAAAAATTATTTTGAAATTATTTATTTTTTCGGTGTATTTATAAATGATAATTCACAACATTGTGCCTTATAAGATACTATACTAAGCTTATTCATCATAATCCAAATCTTTAAAGTGTTATAATAAACAGATGAAGTTATATTCAAAATTCAAATGCCATTTGAAAAAAAAACCTCAAACATTTCATAAATTCAAACAATATGTTCTTACTTAAAAAAAATTTTACATCTTTATAAAGCATAACAGATAAAATTAAAAAGTATTACATAGTTAAAATATAATATAGAATATTGGAATATAAATATATTAAATTCAATATCCTTTTAGTTAATAATTTGAAAACAATATGTAACTAAAATTAACAAAAAAAAAAAAAAAATTCAAAATTAATTTTATTTTGCGAGTAATTGAGTAGGTTATGACAAAAGAAATCACTTTATAAATAACTTTAATTACTTTATCAGTTTCTTTTAAACGATATTGAATTTCTTTGCCAATATACCACTCCCATGCACAAGCAGGTTTTTGCAATTTTAAAGCTCTTTCTGCAGCTCCCTCACAGTCTGGTCGTGCCTTAACTACTCGTGCATATGAACCTTTGCCAAGTTCATTAAGGAATGACATTTTAGTAGAACCTATCAACAAAATAAAAATGTAGTATACATTATACATAAACACTTTTATTAATTAATATAATTATTATATATTATTTTAAATTCAGAAATTATAAATTTTACCTAATTTAAATTCAGATCGCATATTTGGTACATCAGTATCATACTCTAAATATCCATTTAAATGCCGTTCTTCGGGAAACCCAACAACTTCCTTAAGTAATTTGTTAATTAATTCATCATCAAAAGGATTAATGTTTTCATCTAAAACAAAAAATTTCTTAATTAGACGAAAATCATTTTAAAATAGATACTGTTAACATTTTATACAGAATTAATTTATAAGAAAAATGTAAATCTTAATATAATAATTATTGTACAGTAATATTAAGTAATTTTGAATTACTAAATTCTATTTTAGAAGGTTGAGCAAGTTTTATAGTAGAGGTAAGTGAAGATATTCCAGATGAATTACTGCTATTGCGTTCTTTAGAAGCTTCTAGAATCATACTAAGATTTTTTCCCACTGGGTGTGTTTCAGTCTCTGTTGCTTCAGTTTCTTCAGAAATTCTAAAATAATTTTAATGTAAATAAGTTTTCAAATGAAAAATAATTAAAATATTTTAAAAGTTACTTTAGTGGTTTTAATACATTTCCATTAACTTTTTTAGTTTTGCTTCCACCAAGAGCTAATGGGGTAGAGCTTGATAAAACAAAATTAAATGCTTTAGTTGAACAAGTCAGATCATCATCAGTCTAAAATAAATAAATAAAAATTTGTTAAGTATGAATAAAATTATGATTTCTAGATCAAACTTACTACTTGAACTTCTTTAAAAGGTGATTTATTTTCATTGATTTTTTTGGCTGGTTCTTCCTCTTCATAAACAGCAAATGGTATACTTTTAATATTTTTTGACTGCTTCTCTCTTAAATTATTTTTTACTTCATTTTCATCTACATACACAGAAATTTCACAAGTTTTTGATGATATTTTATTATCATCAACATGAATTTTTAATTTTGTAGTTTGGTTTTTAGAAGAGGTTTCATCAGTTATGGAGCATTTCTTTAGGAAAATGTTTTCATCTTCATCTACATAAACATCAATACTGTCAGGAACTCTTTTTTGATTGATTAAATTATTATCTGTATAAACATTTATATTTTCATTTTTTTTAGTAGATATTCCATCATCTTGAAACACCATAAAATTTGAAGGATTATTTGAATGAGCACAATTTTTATCTTCTCCAAATCCAGCAAATGCAACAGGGTTTCTATTATTTGATATAGAAAGTGGCGGATTTATTATTTTATCTAATACAAACAAAATTTAATAATTAATAAATAAAAATTGTACAATAGTTACTGTACTACAAAGTTAATAACATTGAGTAATTTTTTGAGAGTTAAATGATTAGAATTAAATATATTTAACTTGGATTAAAAAGTTTTTTAGGAAACTAACTTTAAATTAATAAAAAAAATTACCTTCACAAGGACTATTCCACATTTGTTGAACAAGATCAAGTGCTACTCTAGTATTAACAGTAACTGATTGACTTAAAGGATCAGGTTCCATTTGTAGATGATGGGGTGCCTAAATAGTTGTAATTATTAGTTGTATAATTAAAATATCGTAAGATTCTTTTTTTACTTTAAATTCAGGAACTCGTAAATCATTATTAGGTGATACAACTTTTTTTACTGGTTCTTTAATAACAACTTTAGGAGGTTGTTTAGCTATATTTTGGGGAATACTTCCTTTAAGCAAATCTAAATTAATAGACATAAAATATATTTTTATTTATTTCTTAATTTATAAGTAACAATATATGCTCACAATTTATCACACAAATATGTTAAGTATAAATTTAAGATAAGATAATAACATGGAATTTACCCAAATATGTATATACTAATGAAATATGTAAAATGTTACAACAGTTTTATTATATCGTTTAAAAAGGAAAATTACATACATTTATTAATTTTTCCTTAGTCTTATTTTTAATTTTGTTGTATAAAATCTGAAAACCTAAACATATTTGTGTACTTCAATGTTAATATAGTTACAAACTACATCATAGTAATATCATATTGTTTCAAATATAAAAAATTATTATTGTAATTGTTTTTTAAACAAAATATGCATATACTTATTTCATATTGAAATACTAATGACTTACTTTTTTCTTTTTCCATCTTAAGATAGTATTCATACCTTATTTCTTCAATTTGAATATCTCTACCAGCTGCATACACCTAACAAGAAAAGTAATTATCAATAAAACTTTTACTCATTTGAAATTGAAATAATGAAATAAAAAATAAAAAATAGTAAAAATATGAATAATTTAAATGAAAAATGGATCATTTTGTTATAAACAAAAGTTTAACAACTAAAGCTTTAAAAATGTTTAACTTATTTTTTTAGTTTTAACTGGCTTTGTCATCAGTTTTTAACTGTTCAAACCAATTGCAGATTTCAAAAGATTAAAAAAAAATTATAACAATGGGACAACTTTAAAAATATTCCAATTTATGAAAGCTTTAGTAAATTATATATTTTTTACTTTAAATGTTAAATTTAAATGTGGTATTTACCTAACAGTCATGTTTTTTAAAATTCAATTAAATTTTAATATAATATATTGATACCTATATTCACTTTAAGAGTTATGGGTATTAATTTAATGAATTACCTTTTTGTACAATATTCACACACACAAAATATATTAATAGGTTAAATTTTTATTATATATTATAATTGAAGCTTACTTTATCTTTACAATACATAGGTCGTTTTGTAGGATCTGGAGGTTCAAAAATGGCAACAGGACATGAAAGATGAGTATGGTTCTTAATACTCCGTAAAGCATTTGGAACTGTAATACCATTTAATTTTGTCACACTTTCAGTATTAATATCCTGATGAACTAAAAACATATTAAATAATATTATTTACAAAAAAGTAGAAAAAATGAAAGTGATCTAGTAATTCTATAATTGATTTAATTTGTCTAGTAATTTACAAATGTAATTACCCTCAAAATTTACAGATGATACAGGTTTTGGTATACTCTTTGATCTAATTTTAGGCTTTGTCCAGGGTCCTGGTTTAACTGTATTTTCTTTGTTTAATCCTTTTGATGCAAGATCACAATTATTGTTGTCAAAACCGAGTAATGCATTTTCATCATTATCCTTAACAGAAAGTTATGCATATAATTAAATTAACTGCTAAACATTAATTTGAAATTATAATAACTAGTACACAAGAAAAATTAAAAAACTCATGTTGTCATTTCTTTTCAAGTCGACCGATTTTTCAAACAATTGAAAAACTTTTTGGTCATTTTATATATGAGGGAAAAAACATTTTAATATTAGATATATACTTTATTGATAAAAAAATTACTTCAAAAACTTTCAGTGAAGAAGCCATTCCATTAACATTGTTGTTTTGAGGTACCGTTCCTAATACTCCACCCATACCACGCCTTGTACCACTATGAGTTTCAGATTTTTTTAATACACTAAAAGCTTGTCTTTTACTTGGTTCATTTCCCTTTTCATCATCATCGCGTAACTCACCATTTATCATACGTCTAGCTACACTTAATTGAAATTGACTACAAAACATAAAGAAAAATACAATTCTACTAATAATTTTAATTAATTACTTTTTTTATTTTTAGAGAATACATAAACGACTTGCTGAGGGACAAAATCTCAATATTAAAAAGACAAAATACTCCATGAGAAAAATGTTTTATTTTAGATAATGAAAAAACGTATATGATATATACAGATATATAAATCCACATTCAATATTTTATGCATAAGTTGATAGTGAATTTTATTTACATCATAAGACAAATTACTGTTATTAAACTTTAAATTTCTTTCTTGAAAATATGAAAGACATGACCAAACTTATTATTTTTGTGCATCAAACAAATTATTAGTTTAAGTTAAAAATTTGAGATAAAATTAATATGAGACGGAATACATTTAAGAGTAAAATTTTAATTATCCTACAATTAATAAATTTAACTCATGAAAACTTATGAGTTAAAGTATAATCANTTGCAAATTTTTATTATAAGTTTCAAAATAATAAGTTGATATGGGGTCAATCCATGCCAAATCATCCAGAAGTGGTTGCACGACCACCTCATATTTTTCTGAAATTTTCAGGGTTTATTCATTATGCTATAATTAGAATAAATCAATTTTTTTTTTTTTATGATCGTCCCATTTTTATGGCTATTTCAATGTAAAAAAAGTTAAAAATAGCTAGATCGTTAAAAAACACACAGATTATTCAATTTCAACTCAATCGAATTAAAATTTTAGATTTGACCCTATTATAACTTATAATATTGTGTCTTCATAAATGTCAATTAATGATATCTTAAGACTTCTTATGGTATTGTTATTAATTGATTAAATATTCTAACTACTAAAAAAACCATGATTATAAATATTTTACAATATTATCATAATAATTTTATTTATTTATTTTTTATTTTCGAACTAAAATAATGAATTGAATATTTATAACGTGTCTAATAATTTTATTGAATTATAATATATTACATATACAATGATATAAAAAAAAATTACAAAAATGTGGTTTGAAAACAACAAAAAACTATCATTAAATTATTTGATTTTTACTGATTTTCTAATGCTAAATTTTACATGTTACACATTTTTCTAAAACTTCAAATTTTTATGGTGTATAAAACAAATATACGAGGTGTGATCAAAAAATACCCGGACTGTGTTAATAATATTTATATCAATTAAGATAACGAAATCACGATAATTTAATTCGATAAAGTAACTTCTAACGAGAATTTGAGCATTGGTTTGAAATCGATAACAATATTTATTTTTATTTTATGGCATTTTTACGAAAACATGTTTCAGTCATACGTCGATTTTTGAAATGGAAACAATAGAAGAATAATGTGTGTGTGTAAAATTTTGTTTTAAATTAGGGAAAAGTTCAAGTGAAACTTTTAAACTTTTGAAGCAAGCTTTTGGAGATGATGTTCTGTCTCGGGCAACATGTTTTGAGTGGTTTAAACGGTTTAAGGAAGGTAGGTCATCCACTAAGGATAACGAACGATCTGGTATACCATCGACCAGTAAAACAAATGAAATTGTTGCTCGTGTTCGTGAAATTATTCGAAATAATCATCGATTAACTATCAGAGAAGTTGCAGAAGACGTTGGAATATCTTATGGTTCTTGCCAAGAAATATTAACCAAAGAATTGGGCATGAGCCGAATCGCAGCCAAATTTGTTCCTCGTCTCTTAACCAATGAACAAAAACAAAACCGAAAGACCATCTCTCAAGAATTTCTTGAAAGAGCAGAAACTGACTTAGACTTTTTAAAAAATATTGTAAGTGGTGATGAAACTTGGATTTACGGGTATGATGTTGAAACCAAGCATCAATCGTCACAGTGGAAGTCAGCAAATTCCCCTAGACCAAAAAAGCAAAGCAGGTGAGATCAAATGTGAAAGCCATGTTAATCACTTTTTTTGATTTTCGTGGTATAGTTCATCGTGAATGGGTGCCTCAAGGACAAACAGTAAATCAGTTTTTTTATTTAGAAGTCATGAAAAGATTACGAGAAAATGTTAGAAAAAAAAGGCCAGAAAATTGGAAAAGTGGTTCTTGGATGTTGCATCACAATAACGCCCCGGCTCACAGCTCATTGCTCATTCGTCAGTTCTTAGCGAAAAATCAGACTACAGTAGTTCCACAACCACCATACACACCCGACCTGGCACCATGTGACTTTTTTTGTTTCCGAAGTTAAAATCTACGCTCAAAGGACGTCGTTTTCAAACAATTAATGATATAAAACAAAATACGGAAATCGATCTAAAGGACATACCAATTAGTGCCTACTAGGAATGTGTTCAAAAGTGGAAAAGAAGATGGAAGCGATGCATTGCTTCCTAGGGAGATTATTTTGAAGGTGATAATGTTTATATAGAATAATATTGAGTTAATAAAGTTTTATTTAAAAAATCCGAGTATTTTTTGATCACACCTCGTATATCTACAAAACTAAAAAATTTTTTTTGGAAATTAGGTTACCCAACAGAGATATTGCACATATTTTTATAAAATTTCTAACTTATAGGCCTCTAAATCCCAAGATAATTGTTTTAAATATTTGAAATTTAGTTAAAACATAGATTATACACTATACAATACCACATGTAAAAATCACAATAAAATAATAACTTCTTAATGGTTTTAAGTGAGCTCAAAAACGGCAATTTTCACAAAAAAAGCACCATTTTTTGAAAGTCATTAAAGTTTAGAATTTCATATAATTTTTTTTTTTTTTTAATGTAAACTTTAAGTTATAATAGGGTCAAATCTAAAATTTTAATTCGATTGAGTTGAAATTGAATAATCTGTGTGTTTTTTAACGATCTAGCTATTTTTAACTTTTTTTACATTGAAATAGCCATAAAAAAAAAAAATTGATTTATTCTAATTATAGCATAATGAATAAACCCTGAAAATTTCAGAAAAATATGAGGTGGTCGTGCAACCACTTCTGGATGATTTGGCATGGATTGACCCCATATCAACTTATTATTTTGAAACTTATAATAAAAATTTGCAAAAATATCAAGTTTTAAAAAATATTTATCATCTATTATCCATACTAAAAACTATCTTTAACAATTTTTTATTATTTAAACCTATATCTGCATTAAGTTCTGTTACAAATAATAAAATTGTTTTACTTTTAACTGCAGCCTCTCAATATTAAAAACATAAGTCAACCTTTATTAATTCTAGCAATACTTAAGTATACTTGATACTATATATGAACGGATTTTGTAAAAAAATGGTCAAGTCAAAAATTACCATTTTTTATTTTACCTAATATTGAAATAATTTTGTATGGAAATAAATGGAAAAATGTAGTGAAAAATTCCTAATCAAATTTATAAATAATCAAGAAATGACAAAATTGACTTGACCACTACCTTTTCACTATCCGTCCATAAACTATTATTATTCTTACACATGAGCTTGTTCGAGTTCTTCTCTGGGTTCAGCTCTAGATTGAAGTCCAAGTAAAAAAATCTGGTCCACACGCTTAATATCATTGTATCTATCTAGCAAGTCTGCCCAAGCACGGTAAAAAAGTGCACACATAGTTCCTAATCCTTGATTGTATACAGTTTGATATAATTCAACAGCATTAGGCTGATCTTCAATCTATTAACATTAATTTTATATTACATAGAAAATAATATAAATATGGCATGTGCTATTATACTAACAAATTTAATAAGAATTTGAACAAATCGAGGATCTTGTTTGTACTTTTGATCATTTTTAAATTTTTGTACTGTCTCTTCTATGAGAGGTAAGAGATTGCTTTCTGGCCCATGTTTTAAGTACATTTGTTCTAGCCATTTTATATACTCAAAACGAGGAGCTAAAGGATCATCACCTTCATAGGTTCTTATATCATGCTCATATTTTCTAAAAAAAAAAAAACATGAATTATTATTGGTAACTTAAAAATTAACTATTATTTCAATAAAAAACATATTATAACTAGGGTCCATTTAACACAAACTATGTTGGACCAACAAAGTTGGTGTTATGTGTAGATTCTATATATATATATATATATATATATATTTTTTTTGCATATTTTAGTAAAAATTACAAATTTCTATATTATTGCATAAAAGTTCAATTTTAGTAATGTTAAATAATACTCCAATTTTTTTTATTGTTCCATAAAATATTGGAATTTCTATAAAAATTATATATTAATTTATAACAAAAAAATTATGTTAATAAAAAGTATTTACAATTAGGTAGTTTTATATTAACTCAAAAAACGGTAGCTCAGTATGACCGTGGCATAATCGGGACAAGTATAAGTAAAAGACATAAGTATTACCAAAGTGGCATCTGAACATCACATTTGTGTGTAGATAAAAATACAATTTAAGCTAATTCAAAATATCAGTGATTTTTCTCGACTTTAAAGAAGCAATAACTTTATATTCTATGTCAATTAAATTTATATCAGTTTAATGAAAATCATTGTACTTCCCAAGTAAGGTATCTTAAAATAAAAAAAACCCAGCCCAGTGGGGTCACAGCATAGTGGGGACGTTGCATAGTTGGGTCCAGTATAGATTTAATCTGACAGCGATTAAAATCACTATCATAAAAAACGTTTCGATGCAAATCTGCCTACAGTGTTTAATTCTAAGAAATTGATGGATAATTACAAAAGCAACATCAACTATTAAATCAAGTTTTAATAAAAAAAAAAAATGAATTTATTACCATAACTTTTAGCTCAACTTGCAAATTTGAAATTGACATTATTAAATAGAATAAAATGAAATTTTTAAGATTAATATGCAATCAGGAAATTTTATAATTACTATTTACAGTACATTTATCAAAGAAATTCGATTTTTTTTTACATTTTTATCATAATAGTTCACATAAATAAAAATCATAATAATCATTTCTAATTAACTTTTGGTGTTTAAAAGGATTCTACAATGGAAATATTCAGAATTTAATTAATTTTAATGATTATATATCTAAAAAAACCAATAAAAAAGAATTGTTTAAAAGATTTACTCAATTGAGCATATTATAAAATTTGATTATGATTGTAAAAATTTATCATTAAATTCAGATGAAACTAAAAATCATTTTTTTTTTAAATTTATGATTAAATCATATATATATATCTATATAAATTTTATATAGCAACATGTTACAAAAAAATTCGGAATATTATAGACTGGTAGTAGCACACACAAATAGAGTTAAAAAATTAATAAATTACAAAGTAAAATTATTTACTCTTGTAATTGAATACTTTTATCATATCAAATCTAATTTGACAATAAATAAGAATATTATAAATTAATGATTTTAATTGTTTGTATGGAAAAACTGGTTAAGCTACTTTTTATTTGAATAAGGAATATTTTTTCGATTTTTAAGAGTAATAACTTAAACTAAATACTATTTGTAATCATTTGACGTATCGTTGAAAAAAGTAGGTCTAGTGAGGGTTGGCAAAATAAATCGTAGCCACAAAAAGAATTACATAGTAAAATAATATTAACATGAATTTAAATTTCTTCTTACGAGGGGAGACTATAGTGATAGGATCCTTTATATTTATTGAAGTTATTGAATCGAAATGAGATAAATATTAAATTATTTGAAAATTTTATTCTAACTCAAAAAAAAATGCAAAATATTAATTGCCACAGACAGATTTGAACCTCATACCCTAAGCGTGACAGACACAAGTGTTACCGATTCGGCAATGGTTTGTTGCCTCCGTCACTTGATAAAATTAGCTATTTAAGCTAACTCAAATTTAAAAATTACTTTTTCGGCTTAAAACAAGTAAAAAATTTTAATAAGTTTAATTTCTTATATCTTATGAACTTTATTCTATGTCAATTAAATTGTATAATATTCATGAAAGTCAGTGTATTCCCCTAATAAGATATTTTAAAATAAAATAAAATACAAAACACAGAATTTTAATACAAAAATAGCATATTTTTGAATACGGTAGCCATTTGCGCATAGAAGATAGGTCTTTATTTAGCTTTATTCTTTATATAATATATATCACTACATACATTAAGCCGGTGTTTTTAATTAAGTAATATAATTCACCAGTACAATAAGTCTTGACAAATGTATTTGATAAAATAAGTTTTCTTTTATTTAAAGTTTATGTTCTGGTGCTTATAAATAAGAAATAGGCAATGACATTTCTACGAGGGCTAAGAATCTTTCTCATGAACATGAAATCATAGAAGCGGGAGTATTTGAATCTATCCACTACTCATAAATGAGATAGATCAGAATTATCTCAACAACAAAAATTAAATAACCCTCTCTACTATAACAATAGTAATAATGTAAGGATAAAGTAAAAAAAATGTATTAAGAGATATTTTAATATTTCTACAGAACTTTTATTATAACTTAATAAAATATTTATTATGAAACTTCAGACATGAATAATACCCCAAAATAATAAATAACAAATTTCATATTTACGATCAATAGAATAGAATAATAAAAAATGTACTACAACAAATTAATTTAAATGAATTTATTTTATTATTTTTTTAAAAAAATAATATTTAACCATAATATGCTTACAACTCATATAATTCTGGTTATAGAATATATTAGGCATAGGGAAAGTGGCGCTTCCATCGCCCATTACTCTTTGGATACTGCAATAGCCATCACTCTGACCTTAAGTGGCCAGTGTGATTTGGTCCTCCAATTTGGGGGTTCTGGATGGGGATAACCCCCCAATTCAGTGGAAAAAATCTCTTGGTTAAGAAACCACCAAAAAACAAGCCTCGGATCTGGACAAATAAAATGGATAAACAACTGGAACTAGAAAACGGAATGAAATTTGGATCATGGAACGTTAGGACTTTGAACACACCAGGTGCATTAAAATATGTCTTAGATACAGTTAAATCATATAAAATTCAATTTGTAGCGACCAAAACATACGCAACGAATATTCTCGAATGTTCTCGTTATCAAAAACCTTCGAGAAACTTCGATAACGCCATAAGATAACCTACGCGGGTATAGAATATTCTAGAATTAGCGAGAGCCTTATCGGAGCTATATATATATCGGAAGAATCAGTCAGTTCAGTTAGTTCAGTTCAGACTGTCTAGTCCGCGATACGCTACACGACCGCTACACCCCGCCGCTGTTGTCATCGTGTATTATGTTTACTTCGATTATTTTATTTTTCCTTACTGTATATACATATATTTTCTTTTAGTGTTTATACGTCTATTTTAGTGTTATAATTTTGTTTAATAAAAGTCTACCGCCATTTAAATAATTGTGTGTTGTAAGATATAACCCACAAATTGGTGACCTCGACGTGATGGCGCAGACAGACGAAACAATTGCTCGAGTAGCCGTCAAGATACCGGATTTCATTTCGTCAGATCCCGAACTTTGGTTTGCTATGGTCGAAGGAAGTTTCGCCAGCGCGGGAGTCACTGTTGACAGTACAAAATTCGGGTATGTAGTTGGAGCATTACCGCCAAAATACGCAGTGGAAGTCAAGGACATAATTATGACGCCGCCCTCAGACAGTAAGTACGCCAAAATTAAACAAGAGTTGATAAGACGTCTTAGTGCCTCCCAAGAGGAGAAAACACGCCAACTTTTAGAACGCGTTGAGATTGGAGACCGTAAACCATCACAATTTTTACGCCATCTCCAAAGTCTGGCCGACTCTTCTGTTCCGGAAACGTTATTGAAGACACTTTGGATGGGCCGTTTACCGAAAAGTATACAGGTAGCGTTGGCAATAGTGAAAGATAGTAAGCTTGAAGATCTCGCTGTCCATGCGGACAACATCGCAGACGCATCGGGTCCTTTACTACCACAAATAGCAGAAATGTCGAGAAGTGACACTTTTGAAGCCATGTTGAATCTTAAGATTTCTCAACTTAGTCTAAATATTAATCAGGAGATTGCAGCGTTGAGAAGTGAAGTGGCTGCGTTAAATACTCGCCCCTCGCGTACTCCGGACTCAAGACCAAATACTTACCGTCCAAGGTCACGATCTCGAAGCCGCACTCATCATGGCGCAGACGGAATATGCTGGTATCATTGGCGTTATGGATCCCAATCGAAAAAATGCAAGGAACCTTGTAACTATAAATCGGGAAACGGGACGGGTCATCACTGATGACGGCCAGTGAGCCCGGTCAGTTTCCACGCCGTCTTTTCATCACAGACCGAACTTCCCAAACTCAATTTCTCATCGATACGGGCGCCGACTTGTGTGTTTATCCACGTAGTGCTGTTCCAGGCCACCGCGTAAAAACCGATTACGTCCTATCAGCCGCCAATGGCACGCCTATAAACACCTACGGCACTATCACGCTCAGCCTAAACTTCGGACTTCGTCGAGATTTCACTTGGAGATTTGTGATTGCGGAAGTATCCAAGCCCATCATTGGTGTTGACTTTTTAAGTTTTTACAATCTTTTGGTAGACGTGCGCAATCAATGTCTATTAGACGGACTTACACAACTCACCACTCGTGGTCACGCCGTCAAGTGCTCAATACCATCTATTAAGGTCGTCGTGGGAGAGACGAAATACGACGGTTTACTACGGGAATTTCCAGAGATCACTCGACCGTTTGGGACCCTGAAGGATATCAAACACAGCACTAAACACTTTATCCCGACGACACAAGGACCCCCGGTATCTTGTAAACCACGACGCTTAGCACCTGATAAGCTTAAGGCAGCAAAAAAAGAGTTTGAAGCTATGATCCAACTAGGCATTATCCGACCATCCCAAGGACCTTGGTCATCACCATTACATCTAGTACCAAAGAACAAAACAGATGCATGGCGTCCTTGTGGGGATTACCGCGCTCTAAATGCCCGGACTATCCCAGATCGGTACCC